AGGAGGGCAGGAAGGAAGGAGGGAGCACTGACTTTCCCTTCTTAGTGCCTTGATAGGAGCAGGAGAATGGACCTCTGCAATCTAACCAGGGCCTCATAGGAGGCAGAAGCTCTTCAAGAGTGGTGTCTGCTCCCAGATAGACCCCAGAGCCCACTTCTGTGAGTGGACTTAGCAGGTCGTGTGGGTTCACTTGTCAGTATTGAAGACTCATATTTTGTTGGAACTTTAAAATGTTGAAATCTGATTTTGATCACTTCTTATAGCCTCCTGCTATACTTTCAAAGCCCGAAGTTCTGACTTTTTATTATCTCAAGGCAACTAAACTATGTTCAGGATACTTTCGAAGCCATTCTAGCTCTACATTCTAGCTCTAGATCATTCCACCTAATTCCCCTGCAGGTACATTTTGCAAACCCGACTCTATTGTACAGGCATACATACAGGGAAAACACCCATATAAAAAAGCAAATAAATAACTTTTAAAAACATTTGGGAAATACATTTGATTCTATGTACTTATTTGCTGTGGGAAGAAAAATTGATTCTATTCTCAAAGCTATTCTATACCTCTGTCAAAAACTATTTAGAAAATTCTCATAGCTAAAGCCAAGTCAATTCCCACATGTAATTTCAGGTACATCTCTTTTAAGCACATTGTAGAAAGTGATCATAAACTAACATTTTTTTATTTTGATGATACAAGGATATATTTATGTTATATATTTATTGGGAGAAAGTTCTTAGCATTTAGAGACTCATAATGAAAAGAGACGTTAGTCCTACAATTTGTTCCAAGTAACATGAAATGTCAGACTGAAAAAGACTCTCCAGTGAGACAGTTTCATCATTGAGTTAACAGGTGGTTAATTTGTAAGGGCTCAAATTTTTCCCTTTGATTCTCTCCTTTTGTTTTATTATTTAAAACCTGCTAACAATGAAAATGTACATTGCCTCAGATTTTTTTCAAACATTATCCTTTACAAAGAGATAATTCATATGGTAGTCTCTGACCTGTTTAATGCCAGCAGTCTGAATTGTCTATAATCTATATTAAATACTAACCATTTCACAAGCTCCTAGATTTTTAAAAATCACCCTGGTATTGATAGAATGTTGCTACGTGGCCCTTGTCATAAAGTAAACTGAGATGAGGCTTTTGAAATTGGTCTAAAGAGACAAAGAACAAGCTATGACCTAAGAAGGACAGAACATAACATATTTTTCCCAAGTCTATATATTTGAACAGAACATTACTTTGGTAAAATAAGGAGGCTCGGATAAAGAAGTTGTATCATTTAAATAATTTTTTAACCTTGCCATAAATATGTGTCTAGAATGTATGTTATTCCTATCCTCTATTTTGAGTGCATTCATCTTCAATTGTGTTTATTTTTCTGATGGTCCTTTTCCCATTCTGAGTATTCTTTAGCTTTGTGACTAAAGAGAAACTTTGGCTTCTGTGGGTTCTCTGGATATCCAAATTCATTCATTGGATTTTATTGTATAGACTTTTTTCCTAATTTTTAATTGAGTGATATTCTGCATTTTTAATAGCTTTATTTACGAACAATATTTTGTTTTCCATGCCTTCAGAAATGGTGTCAACTTCTGAAACAAGCAATACATGTTTATATCCAGATTAATACCACACACTCATTCTCAGACACCCATTTCATTTCCTTCTAAATTAGTGGGCGCCTCAAAACTAAATTAAGTGAACAAATTAAAATATCAAATAGTGAAAAAGCATATTCTGTTAAGTTCTTGATAGAGACAAACTTTACAGATTTAGTTTGATGCAACAGGTATTCATATACATTTTACTTCATTTAAGAGTCAAGAGACATGAAAAATAAATATGTAAACATGTGCATTGTCATTTTTCTTCCTTTTTGTATCATTCTTATGTGTTTACATTATTTTTAATAACTTCGTGTAAGATTCTTGAATACTAAATTCTAGAATGTGGAAGATACTGTTTAATACATGAGTGAAACTTTAATAATGTCCATATTAAATTAAATCCTCAGTTCATTACACCGACATAGGAAGTCACAAGACCAAGATAATGTCTAGGTCCGAAAAGAGATTTATTGGGCAAGCTTGCAAAACCTGACTTACAGTGGCTGAGTATGGTTAGAGCTTGCCTAATTCTAGAGGGCACTTTACATCAATTTGGATGAGTCAATATGAAGCCCAGTGTGTAAGTGTTTGTAACTAATAGTTCTGTATACTGTAACAGAGCCCGGTTGCCACACTTTAAGAAGTATTGCATTAACTAGACAGAAGTATGACATTTCTGAGGATAGTGATCTGTGAAACTTATAATGTTCTTATAAGTTCATGACATGAGATAGAGGTAATTTAAAAAGAAATTATCAGTTCCTTATAAAATTAATAAAATTGACCAATATCTTAAACTAGTACTTAGAATTCCAATAAGAGGAAATGGACTATGTCTCTGTGCCTGAAGGAACGCTATGCCTCAAGGAACACAGACATAATCTAGCCAGTTGAGGTGGTTAAAGAGAAGTCTATGCAGTGGCATGTTGCCTGTGCCATTCTATTCCAAATCATCTTCTGTCTTCTGCCTTCATATGACCTGTATCTCAAGCAAAAAACTTCTTTAAAAATTTAAATAAATGTTTATTTTTATAAAACATTAAATATAATAAAAATAAAAACCATCAAATTGAAGTCAGACAAAGCAAATCAATGGTAGGAAAAGAGCCACAAGAAGAAGCACAAGAATCAGAGACCCACTTGTTTACACACTCAAAAGTCTCATACAAACACTAAATTGAAAGTATATCCTGGTGCAGACCTGTGTCAGCTTTGTGCTTGCTGCCCCAGTTTCTGTGAGTTCATATGAGCTTTGCTCATTTGATTTAGAGGACCTTGTTCTACTGGTATTCTCTATCCCCTCTGACTCCCACACTCTTTTGCCTCTTCTTACACAATATCCCTGAGCTCTGAATGTAGAGATTTAATGGAGACATCTTATTTAGAGTTATTTCAACATCTGCCTGTTTGTGTCTAATGTCTGGATGTGGGTCTCTATTTGTTCCCATCTGCTGAAAAAGGAAGCTTCTCTGATGAACGCTGAATAAGATGCTGGTCTATGAGTATAACAGAATAAATAAATAACAGCTAAGCTGTAATCTGTAGACCCAGAGAGGTTAGGTATAGAGGAAGAGAATGGGGCGACACATGGCTCTCCGTGTGAAGAGGAAAAAGGATAGATTTCATGGGTGGACTGGGGATGGGGAAGGAAGAATCAGGTTGAGCAGAAAGAGGAGATGGGGTTAAGGAGGGAAATTTAGAGAAAGACAGCTAGAGTAGAGGGGCATTTGAGGAGTGCTGTGGAAACCTAGTGCAATGAAAACTTCCTAAAATAGATAAAGGCAATCCCAGTGATGTCTCCAGATAATGAGGAAGATGGAGTCCCAACCGGCCATCTTGTCACCAAATGAAGTTTCCAGTACCAGGAGTAGGTTACATCCAATTGAGTTATCTGCCAAAGGGTTCCCATGGAGATCCACAAACAACCCAGGCTGTTGACAAAACAATAGGTTGCTCTCCATGAACTGACAGCAAGACCCCATTGCTGAAGACAACACCCACAAAACTCTCTGAACATGGAGAGGATGAGCTGGTGCCAACACAGATTTTTCACCCTTATGTTTTTAATGTTTTTGATATGGAAAGGTACTTCTCATTCTACCAAAAAAGAAGAGTAAACACCAACCAAAACACAAAATCTTTGATTTCTAGATGAGTCCAGATGGTCTTGGTTAGACTCTATTCGAAATATGCTTGAGGTTAGATTCCAAGTTAAAGCAAGTGTGTTTGTACTTTTAAGTATATGGGATTGTTCAAATCTTAGCCCTTATTAGTAATTTGTTTTTTTTTTCATTATACTTTTGTAACAACAAATATTACCTTTAACAGGAGACAACATTTAACTTATAATATATAGACTTTAAATATTTTGTAATTGACCTGTCAATTTTTTCAAAATATCTATGGTATTTTGAGTTTTCAATAATTTGAAAATTATACTGTTTAATTATATAATATAAATATATCTGTTAGCAATGTGTGCAAAAATAAACTATAAAAATTTCTTTTAAAAATTCTCTGAATTTACATTAAAAATTACTTAAAGTAGCCCTTCCAGTAGAAACAGAAACAAAGAAGATGGATCACGCATCTTGTAGCCATGGAGATACATGCTAGCGATGCATTTAGGGTATTTCACTACTGTGAGTTATCTTAGTGAACTTAGATTCCTGGCATAAGCTATAGAATTTAGGCCATAAACTGTACAGCATCTTACTCTACTGAGGGCTGTGGTTAACTATACACAGTCAATTAGGTGTACTGAAACATTTACATATAGAAAAAGTACATTGTAAATACCAGACAATAGGACTATCATCAGCACACATGCACATTGCCCACTGTTGACCAAATGAACATGTAAAACCAAGGCACTGTTACTGTGTATCAGTTATGGATAAAATGGTATATAAAATATATGTTTATCAAATACATTTTCGAGGTTTTAAAGTCAGGGGAAATGTTGTTGTTTTGAATGTGTATGTGAGTTCATGTTTATAGGTGTTTGTGTATGCATATGGAACGAGGTATGTATGTGCATGTAGAGGCCAGAAGTTGATACCACCATCATTCTGGGCTTCATTTACTGAGGTTGAGCCTTTCCTTGAGTCCAGAGCTCGTCAATTGAGCAAGTCTAGCTATTCGGCTTGTCCATGGACCCTTCCTAATCCTTTGTATTGGGACTGCAGGCATACCACTACACCCTTCTGGCTTTTATGTGGGTGGTGGGGATCTAAACTCCATCACTCACAGTTTTGTGCAGTAAGTGTTTTATTCATTGATCCATCTCTTTGGGCCCTGAGAAATACTTTTAATAAATTATCATCTAAATTCCTGATTATGATTTCTAAAGGGAAGAGTGCATTTGGATGAAGAAACCTTAGGTATAATGATAAAAACTCAACAATATAGCATTTGTACAAAATTATTTAATGTTCATTTATTAATCAAAATGTTATTTAGAGTAATATTTCTTTGTAAAATTCTCTGTGTATAAAAGTTAATAAATGGATTTGTTTATAATTTCATAACTTTTTAAAAATATACCAGAACCGAACTGAAATTGTAACTTTTAAAACAATCCCACATTAATCATGAGTTTAGCTAATATTAAGCAATGATTCTACTTTAAACCCCTTAGCTAAAGGCACAGTAAGAGTCAACAGATATTAATAAAAACAAAAATATCTGTGGCATAATAGTGCCACAAAGATGGTTCGTGAGTAAAGTGGACCTGAATGCACCCACAGTTCAGCCCTTGTCTGCATTTGTTCACAAAGATTGACTACATGTGCCCACACTTCAGCGACCACGGTAGGGTCAGGCTATGCCGTCAGAGTGGAAGGATATAAACACACTAGGCTAAGTATCTCCAGTGCTGTTATACCACCTGCCAAGAACCACGTGGGAATCACACTCAGTCCTTGTGTTTCTGCTTAGAAACGAAAGCCTATGTAGAGGGAGAAGTTTATCGCCAAATTTAATATCAAAACACATCTAAGTAACAGCTTTCCACCAATATTAAAATGGGAAGTAAAGAGATAAGAGATATTATTTGAAATTATATCCACCAAACCTGGGCAATATCTAGTGAAAGCCGTAACAATGGCTATATATATATATATTAAATATATATATTAAATATATATATAAATTAAATATATATATATATTTAAGTGTTAAGTGTTTTCTCAGTCTTAATTGTGGGGACTTTCTCAGTGAAGACATTTTGGAAGGCTATATACACACTCAGACATAAGGGAGATAATCAAAGAAAAGGGGTAAGGAAAATAAATCTGCCATGCAAAAGCTTAAATTATCTATCAGGCAGATGGGATAAAGCTCCCGACACTCTCCATTCACAAAGAAGAGGCCAGGGACAATTTAACAGGATGTTCCTACAAGTTAACCATACTGTCAGAAATTATGCAATTTGCTGCATTCCTATGCCACTAAACTTTTGCATATGAACCTCTGGTCTGATTAAAAGGAAATATGCATTCTAAAAGCCTGTTTATGAGTTAAAGTTTCTATGAATTGGCTCCTTTTTCATGATGAAAAAAAAAACCAGTGGTTCTCAGCATCCTATTTTTATATTATCATTAGTGTGGACGTTTTCAAGGTCAGCACGCTTCCATTTCTGACAGAATCAGACCAGAATTGCAAACTTGGCAATTTCCTCAATTACAATAGGAGGTTATAAAGCTACTGTAATGATGTAAAACTGAACATCTATTCTGCAGTCTTATTTATAAAATATTATTCCTCTAGAGGTACCAGCATATTTCTGCAGTTTATAATGAGAGAATGAGCAAAAGAGCGAGGCGATTATTAACACTTCCAAAGCAGGTGCTCAAACCCAAAGCAGCTAAGAAACAACTGGGCACAGAATGCTGGACTAACTCACAGACTGTGCTGAAATCCAGCCTCCAGCATTTGGTGCCAAGCCCGTCTTGAAAAGCACAGTAACTTCTGTGAAGTGCAGTTTTATTTCAGTGGATGTTCTTGCTATGGTTATTGTAAGCATTTACTACTGAGCTCCTTTCGCCACCTCCCTCCCTCTGCAGAGTCAGTCTTTGCTTCCTCGAAGCCCAAATGTTACAGCTCACACTGGTTCCCTCTCCTTTGTTCTCATTGTCAGAGGCCAACAAGGAGATCACAAAGGCACAAAGCAATTAAAACTGGCCTTGCTGAAATCCCTCAGAATCGCTTCCTTCCTTCCTCTTCTACCTTGACTTACTAGAACCATTTAATCCCAGTGTGCCCTTGTTGTCCAGTGAAATACAACTAAACTTTTCCTATGGGATTCCTAGTTAGGAAGTAAATGTTTTCTTCAGTTCTAACAGGGCAGGTATTGGACCAGTTGGACAGAATGCTAATGTCATGCAGAAATGTTATAAGGTAGAGCCCACTATTTTTTAGCCATGTGACTAGGAACATTATCTCAGTCTCATATCTCAACTGAAATCTCAATAATTTGTAAATAATAGTGGCGATGTTATCATAAACACATGACGGAACATGTTTGTAAGGCAGGACCTGGTTATGGTTATGTGCTCAGGAAATACTAGGTGTTCCATTCCACAGTCTCTCCTACCAGGATTCTTCTAAGGTGAATTATTTCAGCACCATAATAAGTGTTGATATTTGATAGTATCAAGCGAATTTGCATTTAAAAAACAACACAGTGTTCTGCTTTAGTACTGAAAATATTAAAAAAAGATAATTTGAAGCTGGGCGGTGGTGGCACAAATCTTTAATCTCAATACCTGGGAGGCAGAGGCAAGCAGATCTCTATGAGTTCAAGGCCAGCCTGGTCTACAAAGCAAGTTCTAAGACAGCCAGTATTGTTACACAGAGAAACCTTACTGTCTTTTGCTTCTTGGATTCTACATGCCATGCATAAAACAAGACCATGTTCAAGTTTCTTCAATAAACAGGAAGATTTTTTTGTCCCTTTAAGAATGGTAAATGGTACCTTATGACCTACATAACCATCAAGCTAAGGCATGGAGATGTTTCCATCCAGCCTGGCTGTACCATAGTGAGAGACTAGGCCTGGTTCTCACTGCCACATCTAGTCCTCATGAAAGAGTGTGCCATTACACCACATTCAACCCAAACTTTAAAACGGTGAACAGTTTTCAAACAAAACATTTCTGCATTTGGCTTATCAATCTAACACAAGATTTGGCAGAATCTTACAGCTTTAGAAGGTTTGTATAGATGGAAAGGGAGGATTCCTATATTGTGTTCACTTCCTTTAAATCTTAATTAAGGCATGGCTATAAAAAATGGACAGCTGATGAAAAAGTGACGAGCAGAACACTGCAAAGTTATTGAGAGTTAGAAAATAAAGCCTGTGTGTGTGTGTGTCTGTAGTTTACAAGGCTGATGCTTAAGGCTGATGTATCTAAGTGCAAGCACACCTCGGGCTCAATAAGACACGCTGGCCTACATAACTCAAATAACACTCTTTTTGTGCAATGCTGCATAGTAAAGATATTGAAACCATAAAATATATCAAGTTATTCTACAGAATTGATCAACAAAAAAGACTTTGTTCTGTTTTCTTATATTTCTGAAAAAAAATGAAAACAAACTTGTAAATTATATCACAAAGCACCAGTGGCAAGTAATACTAAGTATTTTTAAGTGACGACTTTGGGAAAAAAATGATCAAAAATCTAAATGTAATCTCTTCCCTGAAATTTCTTCTAATTAAATACTTAAGATTTTTAGTAGATAGAAAATAATGAATCCCATATCTTTTTTTTAATACTATCACCATTTACAAACAACCTTTTAATATATTTACTGGAATAGTCCCTTGTCTGCTAACCAGGTACAATTAATTTTACAATAAAACATTAACTTTTCTTTACAACACTACATAGTTCCCCAATTCTAATACAGAACACTCTCAGCATGGCACAAAAATCTGTGCAGTGTTCTTTGGATAAATATTACAGCCACATTCATTTTCTATTTCAATTGCAATTTGAAATGAAAGTATTTCATTTGCTTTTGTGGATGAAGTTCCCGAACTTCTGCATAAAGCCTCGGAACCTGTTTTCATTGGGGGAGTATGTATGATAAGCACCAGTCTTGTAATTCAGCATCGGGCTGGACCTGCCATAACTACTGCCCATTGCTGTGGCTTTGACTTCTGGGCGGTTGGCATGGGTGTTTGTCAGGCTGTTCGCTGACGGAATAGAGCTTTCAAGCTTACAAAATGGCTCAAATCGACTGTAAACTCGCTGGTTGGTTGAATGAGATCTCAGGAGCTCGCTGGGCTTTAGTACCGGAGAAGAGGTTGGCCGTCTTTGAGGGGCGGTGACGGCGCTGATCTCCTTCGAATCACGGTATTGGATCTGTTCAGTGTTAAATCTTGGGGCAGAGGCATCTCCCGCTCTCTCGGAAAGCCTTCTTTCAACAGGTCTGGGAGAAGGCGGTATTCTTCTACTTTCCTCTGCGTGGGAATTTACCCCTGGAGATGCGCTAGCTGCTATGTCCTCCTTGCTCTTGTGGATGCTGCCTTGAGAATTTGATGAGGAGGAACGCTTTCTTCTAGGAGATGAATCAACTCTGGGCTCGGATTTTTTGGGCTTCTGATTCTCTTCACCCTCAGAAACCAAAGTGTCAGAACTACTACACATTCTATAAAACGCGGGCGCCTTGTTCTTGGATAGATTTTCTCTCTTATCCGGAGTGAGACTAAGTAAGGATCTTAACTTCTGAGACCCCTTTTTCAAAAAACTTGGGGAGCCTTTCACTTCCTTCTTAGAAGTAAGTTCTTTGTTGGGGTCCTCTTTATTCACGTCAAGCAAAGCAGCAATGGAAATAGATTTGGTGGCCGAGCCACTTGGAGGGTCTCTCTTGATAGCCTCCTCTTCCTCGTCGTCCGTGCTGTGGGTCACATTGTGCATGCTCTTAGAACTCACCAGCACATCCTGCTTGGGTTTTCCCGGCTGTCGAATCCGATTCCTGGTAAGGGTACTATACACATAATTCTTGCTATTGCCGTGCTCTAAATTGACTTTTGAGTGGTCAAAGGATGGGAAACTTCGCCTTTTGAGCAGATTCTCGTTTTCCTGGCTTTTTGTGTTCTCTGTCTGCTTATTTACACACAGGTTTGCATATATACAGTTGTTTAATTCTGCTCGGCCATTCATTGTTCGGTTTAAGATCTCTGGTTGCTTTTCGGGAATCTGCAAGATGTGCATTTTTGGTGCCTCTGACTGAGGAGGGAGCTTGGCGATTGACTCCAGCAAGGGTTTCTCTGTCACGGCAAGTGCGTTTGTGGACCTCTCTTGGACGTCACTATGTGTATCACTTCCTTGAGAACCGATGATGGTGGAATTTGAGGAGCCAGTTGTACAGCTGCTGACTTCTTTTTGTTCAGGTAAAGTTGGTTTAAACGCCAACGAGGAACGCAGCCTCGAATGAGTATAGGCTGCGTTGGCTTTCACGTTTTCCGCACTATCGTAGCCTTCGAATCTGTCACCCAGGATGGAGCCATCTGGTTCAGGTGAAACTTCTGAATTATCATTTAAGTAGGAGTCAATCCTCCAGGTGCGCAGGAAAGACTTTGTGGTGCTCTCCAGAGTCGGCATCCGTTGCTGTAAAGAGCGGATATGATTATCTGTCCCGTTAAATGACCTCCGCACATTTGAATTCCTTTCCCCAAGATTGGTTGTTTTCCTCTGGGCAAGCCGATCAGCAAAACTCTGTGCAGGTATGTTTTTCTGGCTTGCCTGGCCTCCCCGTAATGAGGATGCCACGCTGAGACTGTCTGAAGGCCTTCTCCACTGTCCAGGCGCATTATTAGTCCGATTCAGAGCTCTGTTGAGCAGCTGGTATGGCGTTGTGTCTGAGAGTTCCCCAGCGTAACTATGCCTTTTCCAGTTTTCATTGATCTGATTGGGTTGGAAGTGTCGAATTGCATTTGGGCCATTGAAGTTTGGAACAAAATGAGGCTTGTATCCGTGATTTCTAATGCTGTGTTTGTCATGTTCGTTTAGGGTATACATCCCTCTGCCTTTGTAGTAACTAGGGTCTATTTTATGCATTTGGTCTTGTCTACTAAAAAGGTTTCTCTGGCTGGAAACAGAAGCTAATGAAGAAATGGATCGCTGGTAAAGGCCATTCTCCCACAGAGCTTTGCCTGGCTTCACCCTTGCTGATTCTTCCTGAGCAAAACAGCTTGGGACACAGGACCTGGCATAGAGTGTTCGAAATTCTTCATCAAATAACTCTACAAGGTGTCCTGTGATTATCTGAACCATGCTGAGATGAACTTTTTCAAATGACCACATGTAGCTGAAAACAAGAAAAACAAGAAACTTAATTTTGGTCAAGGATTAATGACACCATACAGCTTCACTGCAAATGTTATTTTAAAATGATAGAAGAATTCTTGTTTTTCTTGGTTAGCATAATTTAGAATATTTTTTATCATTACTACTAATAAATACATATTCGGTTTCTTAAGTAACAAGGCTACTTGACATCTGGTTTTAAGTCCATTCAAACATTTGTATACATCTATCACAATGTTATGGAGTTAAAAAAAATTATAATTTGCATAATATTCCAACCCAGTGGGAGTGGGAAAATCCAGGATTAGAGAGAAACATGAGAGACTTGGAGGTAAAGCTGTAGCCACATGATGCGGGGTCTACCTTCCTTATGTTTACACTGAAGACATGGATAGCATCATTGTGGCAATGCCCTGACATGCTACAAAACACAGGAGATCTGTGTTAATGCATGGATTTGAGCATCGGTTCTTTTTGACTCTTATCTCTGTGAGTTATTCATTGTAATTTGGGATGCAGAGAGCTATAAATAGAGCAACCGTGGGCAGCTGCCTCAGTGGTTGCTGGACAGACCTCACTGTACTCAGTCTACACAGGATTACAATGTTCCCCATAGAATACGCCATTTAAAATGCCAGCTGGGACTTCTGAGGAAGGTTTACAACTTCTGTGAGATTAAAGTTCATAATGATTTCACCATATTTTATGCAACTTTAAATCCCTTTTCCTACATAGTTTTGAAGTGAGGGAAATCTTGAAATATCATATCAACTTTTGCATTTGGGCTCTGAGCACCTATGTTAAATAGAAAGAGTCACAATTTAAAAATTTAAAACTAAATTGCTAATACTATTTATATCAAAGAATGTATATAACACACTCAAGATTATTGAAAAGCAAAGTGAGATAAACACTCTATACTGAATGAATATAATATTTATATATGTCATAGTATTTACATGGGAAATGTGATATTTACATAGGGAAAACAAATATGAATATAAGTATTTCCCAAATGTACTGAGTGAAAATTAATAAAATATTACAAATGACAATGTATACATTGGTGATTTGTCATTTTGAGATGCTAAATTTATGTATTACTTCCCATGAATTCATAGTATGAGAGGAATATTTACTAGGAACTCTTTATGCGAATGCGTGTGCCATCAGGATGACTTAAGATTAATGAAATGGAAATCAACAGTCAAAGAAATTTTCTAGGTGATGGTGCACACCTTTAATCTCAGCACTCAGGAGGCGGACGGAGGCAGATCTCTGTGGGTCTGAGGCTAGCCTGCCCTATAGAGTAAGTTCCTAGACATTCAGGGCTACACAGAGAAACCTTGTCTCAGAAAAAAGAAATAAAGTGAAAAAAGAAAGAAAGAAAAAAAGAGAAAAGAAAGATTTTTTGACATGAGATCAAAAGTAGAAAAATAAAAATAATTTTTAAAGAAAAATTTCTTTTTCAATCAAACTGAAGCTATGAATGAAGCAATGCTGAAAATAGTTAGTAATGAATAAATGTTAAATTAGCAGGTATGCAGGGTTCCCCAGAGAAAGTGGGAGTCTTCGGAAGAAACACAGTGAAAAGCAGAGGAAGCAGAAACTGCCCCTGTTTAGTCCTACACACACACACACACACACACACACACACACACACACACACACACACTCACACACGCATACATGTGCACATGCATGCGCACACACATATACACATCAGATTATAGTTATATGGTAAAAAGAAGTGACATGAGGAACTTGCGAGGCATGTAGGCAAGTTGGAAAGCTTGTGGTTTAGGAATTGCCCCCAAAATAAGATAAACTGTAAGAGAAAGAAGTATTTGGGGACTATTTCTCTAGTGGTTGTTTGTAGTTCACACTTGAAAGATCAGGGATTGAATCTTTCCTATAAGGAGGAAAACATTAGACTAAAGTATAACCCCAAAGTTTATGAACTAAAATAATCCAAAGAGTTGAGTTTAGAAAACAGAATATTAGATGTTCCTCTGGAATGCTGTAATAAATTGTAGGCTAAGATAAGATATTCAGCTGAGTGTTGCAAAGGTGAATCTGAATGAGCAACAAGGCTGTCATAGGATTTGGGAGGGACCGTCTGTGCTTCTCTGTCATTTTGGGTGACTTGTGTTATCTACAAGGCAAAAGCTACAAATCTACTCCGTCAGAGCCGAGCTTCTCAGAATGTGCAGAATCAATGTCCGGTGTTGGCTTGTAGCATACACCAGCTTCACCAGATTACTACATCCGGTTTGTGAATTCTATGCCCCATCATTCTCTCCAGATCTGTCACTGTTTCAGTCTTATCTGAGCGTTTCAAGCACAGCTTTGTGCCATTCACCCACACAAGGCTCTTTCTAAGACAGCCTTGCTTAAATCACTCGTTCAAGCATCCTTTTAGTAGTCCACACAAAGCAAGGAATCACCTCTGGATATTCTGGTTCCCAGAACTAATAGAAACAAATAGATTCTGCTCACACTGATTCCAGAAATTACCACAATTCTACATCACCCAAGTCAAAATGTCATAAGGTAATTTGAATCTTAGCTTCTTTATTTTTTACTTGTTAATAGACATAGTATAAAAAATCATCCTTACAAAATAAAGACTGGCTTATGCCATGTTCTGGTATAGGACTTTCTAATCTATTTAAAATAAAATTCAAATCCTTACCTGACCTAAATGCTCTCATATGTTTTAATCCCAGGCTAGCCTTGGGATCTTCCTGCTTCATCTCTAGAACACTAGGGTTAAGAGCAAGTGCTACCACACCAAACATGTTTTCTGTTTCATCCTGGATATCTTACTCTTTGCCTAAGACTTGGAATCATATTTTTTGTCCCCAATCATAAAATTTATCTCAGGGATCCCATATAGCCTGTTGAGATCTATCTCTGCAGGTATGGTATATTGAAGATACATGTAATATATAATAATAAGTAATCAAATAAATACATTATTATTTTCAAAGTAAAAACCTAAAAGTCAGAAATGCTTATACTGGCAGAAAATATATATGTTTCAGTTAAAGCTGTTATTGCACACACTGGTTTATCTTTCTTCTTTATACACTGTTCAAAAGATAGCAGTTAGAAGAATGGCCACAGATTGAAAAAATAACCCAACACTTTAAAAAAATGAACCCAACTAATGGTGAAGTGGGAACTATATTAGAGGATGTTTTATATGATGAATGCCAATAATGAATCATTTAAGTCTAGAATCTTAAGATACCATACTCCATTTAGGTGGTAGGTAGGTTATGCTTGCAAATCTTAGTACTTGAAAGGCTGAGGCAGAAGGAGCTCCACGAACTCCAGGACAGCCTAGATTACAAATTGAAATCCTATCTCAAAATGAAACAAAGCAAAAATAAGGTATCTATAGAATTCAAGAAAAGACAGGAGAAGAGAATCAAGACATATCCCTACAAAATTGCCAACACAACAAAAGAAAGCAGCAGGGAGAGGAGAGGAGTTCCAGCTTGCTCTGAAATCAGCAATGGCAGAGGTAACTTTATTGTTAAAAATCACTTCTAACTCTCCAACCAAAAGTCATAAATCAAATGAGCGGATAAAATGTCTAGACCCAAGCATTGGCTGTCTTCAACACTCCTTCAGATCTAAAGAGAGACAGGAGGTAAAAACAATAGACCAGGAGAAGCAGTATCCTGAAAATGACGGCTAATGACGAAAGGCATCATGGTATCAGAGAAGACAGATTTTGAAATGTTATAAAAGACAGACACCATACAACGATAAAAGGGACAATTGAATTCAGAAGGAAGATCATGTTAATTAAAATAAAAATAACATTCATAATTAATGAGTAAATATCATCATTCATAATAATTGTACTTATGCATCAAATCTTTGAAGTATATTAAGCAAATTATGACACAACTGAAAGGGAGTGATCAAAATATAAGAAATAGTAGCTGTTTTCAATAATGGATTTATAAATAGAGAGTTGCAAAACTACACAGAACAACAAAACATAACTAAAACATTTAGAATATCCAGCAAAGCGGAATGTACATGCTTCTTAGTGTCTATAAAATGGAATGGTTGGGATAAAGGAAGGGTGGATATGGGAGCAGGGAAGCACATATCTTAATTAAGGGAGCCATCTTAGGGTTGGCAAGAGACTTGAACCTAGAAGGGCTCCCAGGTGCCCAGGGCAATTTCCCCAGTTAGTTTCTTGGGCAGCTGAGGATAGGGAACCTGAAATAGCCCTATCCTATAGCCATACTGATGAATATCTTGCATATCACCATAGAACCTTCATCTGGCGATGGATGGAGATAGAGACAGAGACCCACATTGGAGCACTGGAATGAGCTCCCAAGGTCCCAATGAGGAGCAAAAGGAGGGAGAACATGAGCAAGGAAGTCAGGACAGTGAGGGGTGCACCCACCCACTGAGACAGTGGAACTGATCTATTGGGAGCACACCAAGGCCAGCTGGACTGGGACTGAAAAAGAATGGGATAAAACCAGACTCTCTGAACATGGAGGACAATGAGGCCTGAGGAGAAGCCAAGGACAATGGCACTGGGTTTTGATCCCACTTCATGTTCTGGCTTTGTGGGAACCTAGCCAGTTTGGATGCTCACCTTCCTAGACGTGGATGGAGGGGGGAGGACCTTGGACTTTCCACAGGGCAGGGAATCCGGACTACTCTTTGGACTGGAGAGGGAGGGGAAGAGAAGTGGGGGGAGGGGGAGAGTAAGGGGAGTAGGGGATGAGGAACGGGAGGAGGGGGAGAGGAGTGGGAGGAGGGGGAGAGAAATGGGAGGCTGGGAGGAGGCGGAATTTTTTTTTTCAATAAAAAAAAAATTAAAAAAAAATGTTTCCAGGACAGACCATCTTTAAACCAATATTTTACTTGGTAAGCAAGTCTTAACAAAGAAAGGAAGATTTGAATTACCAAAGTATGCATTTTGATTATAGTGGAAGTAAATGAACAGCACAAGAAAAG